TTAAGGTGTGTCTAGATTAATTTTTTGCACACCGTTGTCGATTTTTTTTGCATTTGTTGCAAACACTATCTTTGCCCCATTGTATTGCCTTTACTCCTTTGTCAAAGAGCAGTTGACTATATTTATGTGGGTCTATTTCTGGGCTCTTTATTCTGTCTCTGATTTGTTTGTCTATTCTTTTGCCAATACCACATTGTCTTGATTGCTGTATCTTTATAGTAAGCCTTAAAACTGGTTAATGTCAGTCCTCCAACTTTGTTCTTCTCCTTCAATATTGTGTTCACTGGTTGTGGGTCTTTTTCCTCCCTATAAAACTTTAGAATCAATTTGTCAGTATCCACAAAATAACTTGCTGGGATTTTCATCGGGACAGTCCCTTTCCTTCATTATTTTTCCAGACTCCATAGCCCTCAAGTTGCTCCTGGTTAAACAAAACCCCCTGCTGCTGTCTCCCACATGGCCTCTCCTTTCTGTATGCTCCCCTTTTTTTCCAAAGAAAAGCTCACACATATTTTTTACGAAACCAACCTGTTAGTGCAGAAGTATAAAAAAATAAAGAAGCATTTCCCTAATAAAACATGTCTAGCTGTAAAGATGGTAGTGATTTTTTCAGTGATAGTAAGATGTTAAGTGATCTTGAAACAGCATAAATGAGCGTCATCTCATGTGACTCCTTAGAGACCCAAATTACTCTTCTCCAATGTTTCCTCTTTGAGTTATACCTGACTCTACTACCAGTTTTCATCCAAATCCACTGGGAAATGGGAAAATTCCACTTTTGTTTCTTGGCCAGGAATTGTTTGATCTTCAAAGTCTTGTGAGAAGACACAGCAAAGAACAGCCAAGGGCACACACCACAATGGAAGAGAAAGGGAGAGAGAGCAAAATCCCGTCTCTCAACTTCTCCTTCCCACTGAAGAAAAGTCCCAATAGGCATGAGGACAGTCAGTCTGATTAAAGCTGCAACTGATGTGTGTGACTTATTGGTAATTCCAAGACTTTCCTAGAAATATTTGCCTTTAACCAAGTGAGTATCTACCTAATTGGCTAAGTATCAGGAGTATTTTGGTTGGAAATGTTGATTTTAACTTTCAACAAAGCATGGTCTTTATAGTTTGGGAGTGGGTCAAGGTAAGGAGATCAGCTTTTCTTCCATCATTAGGAAGGGGAAGAGAAAAGTGTTTGGGGAAGATGGTTCTTCCTACTAGAAAAATCACTGAAGTGACTTACTTAAAGAAGTCATCTCACCTCCCTATCTCTTCTTACCTTGTTAGCAAGGAGGGAAGTGATAGACTCTGACTGTATTCACTTTGGGATTCAGGGGTCTTTGGAAAACACTTAGAGGGTCTTTGCAGCCCAAGAAATCTGAGTTCAAATCTTTGGGTGGTGATATGATCCAAATCTAATATGATCTTGGTCAATATGTAGTCTTTTTAAGTTTAGGTTTCTTCATTTATAATACAGAGATATTACCTTTATAGATTTGTTGAGATTTTTAAATTTTTATCTTTAAAGTAGGCTTTCACACCCAGCATGGAGCCCAATGTAGAGCTTGAACTCATGACCCTGAGATTAAGACCTGAGCTGAGCTCAAGAGTCAGATGCTTAACTAATTGAGCCATCCAGGTGCCTCAAGAGTTTGTTGAGATTTAAATGAAATAAATAAAACACGTATGACAGTGTAGAGTGGGTGTTTAATAAAATAGTAGCTTTTTATAAATAACTGCCCTTTAAATGCTTATGGGTGGAAAATTCCTCAACTGAGCAAGTGAGTATGAGCCAAGAGTATTTAATGACAATCTCCAAATTTTAAGAGGTATCAGAATTAATTTTTCTATGGTAACAATATTATAAATGATGATTAGGGTCCTATTTCATTGCTCAAATATCTATGTAACCTGTAATATCCCTGATAGATTTTGCGATAGCAAGCTTGTTGTTAAAAGTTCAGGCGGGTTCCTGGGGCAGTCAGTGTCTTAGATGCACCAGAAACCCTCATATTATTTTGATGAAATAGTAAGTTCATAATGCTTGTGTGAAATGCCAGCAACACAGTCCCCCTAATTCAGCCTTAGATATAGGATGAGGGACTCTGTTTACTTCCAACCTCCTTCATCAAGTGAGTGTTGGCAATGGGGCCGGACGTCCCAACTGGTGGCTCCCTTGGCACATGCACTGGGAAGGTAGGAAATTTACATTAAGGGTAATGAGAAGGATTTCAGGAAATCAGAGAGTGAAGAACAGGCATGACTGCTTCCCAATCTGAATTGGCTTCATACGTATTCCTTTTTTGCCTCCAAGATCTCAGAGGTTAGCCTGTTTGTTGTTCTTTACACTGTCACCACCCACTGAGTATAAAGAAATTCCTCCTTCCCCTTTAAGACTAGAACTTCTTCCGCATTGCTCCAAGGTCAGGTGTACTTAACTCTGCCTTTGTAGTGTGAAAGCAGCCATAGGTAACACCTAAATGACTATGCATGGCTGTATCCCAATAAAACTTTATTTAAGGACATATGAATTTCATGTATTTTCATGTGTCATTAAATATTCTTCTTCTATTCATATATATATTTTTTATATTTAAAAATGTAAACAGCATTCTCAATTCTGGGCTGTATAAAACCAGACAGTAGGCCAGAATTGCAGTAGAAGAAAAAAGATACATTACAAGCATTTAGTTGTGTCACTGAAACAGTTCATCTGCTTTATATCAAAGACAGGTTGCTTAACAGGCAATTTAATAAAGTAGTAGAAGTATTTCTGATGAATAAGAAGCAAAAGAATACCCTTGCTTTCCATCAGATATTGTAGGGCCATAGTTTTAGATAGACTATAACATCCTCAGAACTTTTGTGGTAGTCTTAAGCTTCCCTGGAAAGTCTGATTTGTGCTGGGGTTTGACACTATTTGGAAAACCTTAGAAAGAGTAAGTGTTATGTCAAAAGGTTAAGTTCATTTAATAACAGTAATAATAGTAATAATGGCTAACATCTATTGAATTCTATGGACCAAATACTGTTCTCACTTAATCCTCGTGATAATTAAAAGAAGAAAGTCTACTACTATCTCCCGTTCATAGATAAGGAAAGTAAAGCACAGAGAGATTAAATAACCTAAGTGAGCAGTAAGGCCAGGATTCAGACTCAGGTAGTCTAACTGAAGGCTGAAGGAATTTAATTAAAACTAACAGATGTACTGAGTTGCAGGAATGAAAATGTTGTTGATAAATTAAACTTGCTGATTTTACAGATGAGGAAAACGAGTCTGAAAGTTAACAAAAATCTTTCCAAGGTCACACAGCCAACGTGAGATTAACACTAGATCTCAGATTTCCTAACTACCAGGCCACTGAATTTCTTTTATTCTGCTATACTGCATGCCCTTGAAAAGTAAAAGCTGGGCAGGACAGAATGAGTAAAACATGCTGGGCCAGATACAATTTATGTGGAACACAGAGAAAACGTATTTAGAGTCTAAATATAAAATTAAGTTAAAGCCACCCTGAATAATATTTTAAATTAGTAATTAAAATACAGATTAAGTTGTAAGTATGTCAGACATCAATAAAACAGTTTTTTAAAACAAATTAAGTTTTAAGTCCCTTCTTTTGATAAAGAAACTGGGATAAATAATGGAATTCACCTACATCTGTCAAATTGAAAATGGGAGATGGCTCTTAAATTTGGTTTTTAAGTAACTTTTTATTGCAAAATTAAATGTACACATTACAAAACATTTTGGCAAAGCATAAATAAAATTAATACTCCTCCCGTCCAAGTATTGGTGTGAAAGTGTTTTTTTTTTTTTTCACCCCAGCAAAAGGATATAAAAATCAGTTTAGCAATTTTTAAGAAACTACTCCTTTTAGGTGGAGAGTTCCTATCTACATTCACTCGTTTAACATTTACTCAACACCTACAGTGGAGCTGGCCCTGAGCCCCACACTCGGAATACAGAGGCGAACCACACAGTCTGTACTCAAGAGGCTTAAATATACGGAAGGAGACATATAAACAGACCGTTATCGATAATAACACAAAACTTGTGTCAAAATACACTGAGAGTATCTAGCGGTTGTAACTGTGACACTAATAATCATTTTGGAATCCTTGGGTTTTTCCCAAACAAACGCTCAACGCAGGGCTGCTGCAATATTATTATCAGCACTAGTTCAAAACGTAGGTTAAGGAAAACTTAGCTGAAAACACTCCATTTGAACACTTGTCGAGTATTTAAGTCTTTCAAATTAAGCCCGTTTGGTGCGCTGGAAACACGCGTAAAGCAGGAGAAACCACACGCCGGGATAACAGATGCTGAACGGGTCACATTTACTTGGAAGTCGACAAGCGCCGCCTTAGCGGAGCAGTGCCTGTTGGGACTTGTAGTTTCTACCAGGACAGAGGACACTGCAGCTCCACTTATAATGCACTTCTCCCTTTCAAGCTTTCTGGCCCGACAGATTAAGCCGTAACCTAAAGCATTTTTTGACAACTCTCACCTCATTCTGGGCTCACTGGGTTTCTGCTGGCCTCCTTACTTTGGATCAGCTCAGACAGACAGACTCACTTACCAGACTCAACGAGATTGGCCTGTCCTCAGTGGTGGGCGGGGCCCTACGTAGACTGGAGCTCGGGATTGGCCAGCATCTGACTAGACGAGGCGTTTTCGTAGCCACTTGCTGATCTGTAAACTGTGGTGAAAAAAGTGCGTCCTTTACCGCAGTATCCCTCTTCATCGCGGAAAGCCTCGCGATATTTCTGCTGAAGGGACTTAGCGACGCGTAGTGAGCGGCAAAGGCCAGTGGGGGTGACGGGCACCGGAGCCGGGAAGGGACAGGTCAGGCGGTGAAGGCGAGCGCGTGCTGTCTGCGCCACTGGGATCCGTCAGGGCCAGCCACCCCGAGCCCAGAGGAAGTGTGTGGACGCCGCGGCCCTGCTGGCCGGTGAGTCGGCCCGGGGTCTCGGCCTTTGAGTCGACCCCGAGCTTCACCTGGGCCTCCCGCTGGCTGTGACAGGTGCGCGGACGAGCGCGGCGCTGCGCCCTCTCGGCGGCCCGCCCCCTCCGGGCCTTGCCCGCCAGGGCTCGGGATGAACTGCGGGCCCCGGCTGAGCGGCTCCGGCTCCTGGCGCCTGTCGCTGCCTCCGTCGCCGCCCAAGAGCGGCCGCCGCCCCTAAGGGAAGGAGGGAGGGAAGCGGCCGCCGACCCTGGGCATGAGCCGGACGCGGCGTCCGTTGCTGGAATAAGACGCAGACATGAACCTGCACCAGGTGCTGACCGGGGCTGTGAACCCTGGCGACCACTGCTTCTCCGTGGGCAGCGTCGGCGACCAGCGCTTCACGGTGAGTGAGGGAGGCTCCCGCGTCGCCCGTGCCCGGTCCGCGCCCCTGAGTCAGCCGGGAGCGGCCCAGAATCGCGGGGCCGAGGCCGAGAACGCCTGGTCCCCTCCGCACTGGGGTCCCCGGGTCCGCGCCCCTGGGACCGGGCGGACCTGGCTTTTGAGAGCGAAGGAGGTAGAAACATGTCGGTCATCGAGGTACTGGCTCGGAAGTTAGAATGTTTTGTAGGATTTTTAAAGTTTCTAGGCTGACGTCCTTAAGACTGGGATGGTTTCCCACAGTCGTTTATCCAGAAATCGTTGTTGTGATGTGTATGAAGGCTTTTCGTTACCCTGCTCTATTGGCTTAAATTGTCAAATTTAGAAATAGTTGGGATTGGTTTCATTTCTTAGTTAAGGTCAAGTATCTTTGTAGTTGTTATGTGTTTTTTTCTTTTTTAAGTGGGTGTCTTAAAACAATTACTGATTGTTTGCTATCAACATCTAGCGCTGAGTAATACAGTGAAAGCGGTGTTTTCATTTACTTCTCTTCAAATTCACCCATAAATAACTTTGGAAAGAAAAAAATATTTTTTGTAAACAATTCGCTCCTGCCATCCTTTGAATTCCATGTGTAGCAGTTTAGAAATCCTGGGAAAGTGTTATTTATTTTAGATTGCTCACATCAATTACTTAAAGTTACGTTACAGTTTTTCAATAAAACTCTTCTGTACCTGAAAGTGACTCCTTTTTCATTTGTCTTCCTCAGATGTTGGAAGGAAGAGGGCCCCAAACTTCGGGCTACTTAGCAGTATAGTGGCATTTTCTGCTTTAACTATAGTTTTTATAATAATTTCAAACTGTAAGTCAGGATTGGATATATAAACTTATTTATAATGCTGAGGATATTTGCTACAACTTGTGTTGCTCTCTCTTAGTTGTGATGAAAAGTAAAACTTTTTTTTTTTATTTTTTTTTATTTTAAAAAAAAATTTTTTTTTCAACGTTTATTTATTTTTGGGACAGAGAGAGACAGAGCATGAACGGGGGAGGGGCAGAGAGAGAGGGAGACACAGAATCGGAAACAGGCTCCAGGCTCTGAGCCATCAGCCCAGAGCCTGACGCGGGGCTCGAACTCACGGACCGCGAGATCGTGACCTGGCTGAAGTCGGACGCCTAACCGACTGCGCCACCCAGGCGCCCCAAGTAAAACTTATTTTTACATTAACAGTGAGACAAAGTAAAAAAAAGCTTCGCAGATCCCCCAGATTTTCTTCTCCTATGAATTGTTTTGTGGTCTTTGTCAGTCAGAATAAGTATTAGATTAAATAATAGTCATGATTTGACATGGTACAGGTGTTCCATCCCTAAATTGTGCTTTTAGATCTGCGGCAACTAAGTATTTTGCTCTTGGACAGTTTGTACCTCCACTCTGGAGATACTAGTACACACCTTAGCTTGCATTTGACATTAGCAGCTTTTGGAGATTCTAATTCTAAATGGTAATCTAGCCTGAATATTTAGGAGGAGATTGAATTCTGAGGGTCTCACTGAACTGAAAGTTGTAGACTTTCTGTAGCTGGACACTGCTCTCTGCTCTTGCTATTTAGATGGAGGAAATAAACAGTGCCCTAAGGAGGTTTTCCTAGTGGAAGATTACAGGATGGTAACATCTCCTAAAGTTACATGAGTGCTTTATCCAATGCAAATTCTAGCAACTTTCTTTAAGAAGGCTTTCAGAATCTGTAAGCCATAGTGTGAACTTCAAAACACATGCAATAGACTGACCTATTTATACACCTAGAATATCCTTTTAAGTGTATATAAAACCGTGGTGGATGCCTCCATGTTATTTTATTTTTATTATTACTATTTTCTAATGTTTATTTATTTTTAAGAGATGGAGAGACAGAGTCTGAGTGGGGAAGGGGCAGAGAGAGAGAGAGGGAGACACAGAATCTGAAGCAGGCTCCAGACTCTGAGCTGTCGGCACAGAGCCCGACTTGGGGCTCAAACCCACCAGCCGTGAGATCATGAACTGAGCCGAAGTTGGACGCTTAACCGACTGAGCCACCCAGGCACCCCACCTCCATGTTATTTTAAAGAAGAGGTGAGGTAATGTGCCAGAGACTATATATGGTTATTCTATACCATCATGTAGCTTGTTGCTCAGTTCTGCGACCTTATTTTAATATCTATTTCCGGAGTGCCTGGGTGGCTCCGTTGGTTGGGTGTCTGAGTTCAGCTCAAGTCATGATGTCAGTGTTCCAGGATTTGAGCCACAAGTGGGGGTCTGCCCTGACAGCGAGGAGCCTGCTTCAGATTCTGTCTCCCTCTCTCTCTCTCTGCCTCTCCCCTGTTCACGCTCATATGATCTCTCAAAAATAAATAAACATTAAAAAAAGTTGGGGGCACCTGGGTGGCTCAGTTGGTTAAGCATCCAACTCTTGATCTCAGCCCAGGTCATGATCTCACGTTTGTGAGTTCGAACCCTGCATCAGGCTCTATGCTGTTAGCATGCAGCCTGTTTGGAATTCTGTCTCCCCTCTCTGTCTCTACCCTACTCATGCTTGCTTGTGCACGCACTCTCTCTCTCCCTCTCAAAATAAATAAGTAAACTTAAATTTTTTTTTTAATTAAAAAAAATTAAAAATCTTTAAAATCTATTTCCATAAACTAGACTTTAATCATCTCCCACCAAGCATACTGCTGCTTTCTCCCAGATCTAAGGAAGAATTCTAGTGAATTCGATAAAAATAAATTTTTGTCTGTTTAGTATAAAGAGATCCCAATTCTCTGTAATTTGGGTGGTAGTTTAAGGATTAACAGTCATCTTCCTTTGTACCCAATCCATCCCCGACTCTTCAACATTAAGTTGGTAGTTGTGTTATAAACCAAGTTTCGCGCCTTCGGTTTCCTTGACACCCTAATATACATCTTAAATTTATGTCTCTTCAAGTTGTTTTTTACGTTAAAAAGCAAAATCTATTTATTGTTTACTCCTTGAATTCTGTTTTTAACATTTTCTGATTTGTACTTGATAGGAAGGTAACAGACCTTAATGGTAGATGGTATATATAGAATAAAAAAATCTCTAAATTTCAGTATTGCTAGAGGGAGGGACCTGAGATCTTCCTGTTGCAGGCCCCCTTGAAGAATGGTTTTATTCCTCCTGGTACTTTATGCCTTTTGTGAAGACATCCTGTGTTTGTAATTCCTCCCTTTGCATGTTTGCAGATAACTAACTGTTCTTGTTTTGAAAGATTACAAGAAATGAAATCCTGTTTTCCAAATCAAGTCTGACAGGTTTCAAATTGAAATTGAATGCCTGCCCTCATGAATTCTAGATTTTAAAATATGCCCTTAGTAATACAATTTGTCTAAGTATTAGATACACTTTTACTACTTAAACTGGCATCAAATATTTTGACTTCCCTCTTAGTATGAGAACTTCTGGAAGGCAGTGACCACGTCTGTCTTGCTGTCAAAGCACTTTATTTGTACTTTCATTATATCATTAACCAGTATTGCTTTGTGTGTGTCTCCCATGGTTTCCTTATGACCATCTAGAACAGTGATTAAAGTAGTGGTGACTCCTATTAGTAGAGTCATTACTTGGATTTGATTTCCAGCCTAGTTCCTTACAGCTCTTTGTATATCCATGAGCAAGTTCTTTTATACTCTCTAAATTCCTTTTTTTCTCATCTGTAAAATAGAGCTAAAGTGTTACCTATTCATAGTGTACTATGTTCAGTGTTTATGTAAAACCCTCAAAAATGACAGTTATTATAAAATTCAAGTCATGCTTATTCTAATGCTTGGCACATAAATACTGGTTGAATTGATGAATAAGACATACAGAAGACATTGGGATATAATTAAAATGCTGTATTTTAAAATAGCTTTAATAATTTATATTTGAGTCCAAATAAAATATTTCTATTTAAGTTCCTTTAGGGACATTTTGGTGGCTCAGTCGTTAAGGGTTCAACTCTTGATTTGGGCTCAGGTCATGATCTCACTGTGGTGAGGTTTACTTTGGGCTCTGTGCTGACCGTGCTTAGCCTGCTTGGGATCCTCCCCTCTCTTAATGCTCCTCCCTGACTTGTGCACAGGCTTTCTCTCTCAAAATAAATGAATAAACTTAAAAAAGTTTCTTGAAATTTTTCTCAGTTATTTGTTACGTGTTTTATCCTCAATATCAGGTGAACAACGGGGAAAAATTTCCTGTACACTAAGCAAAAATTCTTTATTTTTTCTTTATTTAACTGAATTCTTCCCTTACTCTTTTTTTCCTTGTTAATTTCCTACTGCTTTTAGAGTGAAAATATGTGAGCAACCTGGTCCTGATCTGTTGAAAACTTTTGTTTTTAGAATAAAAACTATTTTGTTTATAAAGGACAAATGATAAGTTAAAAAGAGTCACAGTTAATTGGAATCTAGATTTTCTAGTATTTCTGTGAATACTGATGACATATATGCTTTAATATACAATAGATTGTTTTTTTCTTTTCATAGCTTATCTATAGTTAGTGTTGAAACTGTGTTTCAAGTGAAATGGAAAGGGAGGTAATTTATAAGGGACAGATTGTGTTAATATTTAGGACTTCCTGTCTCTAGTTTGAAATTTAAACATCTTTGCTTTAGAAGAGAAAGCAAACATGTTAGAGCTCCAGGCTCTCTTTTGTGTTAGACAACCCAGTGTTCACAGCTAAGGGGACCCAGATTAGAAGTCAAAAGACTGACTGCAGCTCTCTGGGTGTTGGTAGAGAAATGGAGGCTGAATTAGCATTCTCCTGCCAACACTTTCTGTCATAGTAAGCATCCTTTAGCTTTTTGTTTTGTTCTTCTAGGGAAATCTTTATAGGTGGGAGGCTAGAAAGGGGTTTTTTGTTTGTTTTTGGAAGGGGCTTGTGGGTCTTTGTAAGTGGAGAGAATACAAGAGAGGAAAATTTGATACTATTCATATCTGGAAAAAGATTTTTGTGGTTCTCATATGCCATCATGTGGAACTAAATTGGACTT